TTTTTTTTTTTTTAATGGCTCAGCTCAGCAAAGGTGGAGGTTGGGGACAGGCACAAGGTTTTAGGATTCCGAGCAGGATGGTCTTGAGGGAAGTGGTCAGAGACTGCTGTGATGTAGAGGAAGGGTCTGGGCACTTAGTACAAGCCTGATGAGCCGGAGCCGCGTGGCAGCGTATTTTGGAGAAGCTTGGGCGTGTCCCTATAAAAATAAACATCAGGATCAGAGTCCAGAGAACTCTGAAGATACAAAGTTATGATGATGGAGTGGTGGAGGTTTGGGGACAGGCACAGACTAGAGGTCAGGTCTGCCAGGAGGGGCTGCATCTAAGACGGCGTTGGCGTGCACGTCATCTTTTATGTATAGAAAGGCTGTTAAGCAGTCACGTGCTGCAGCCGGCTCTCCTCGGAGAGGAGCATTTGTCTGAAAGATGGAAATGGTAGGACCATTTCAATATTCTCCGTTCCTTGGGGTGTTCTCTTGTGTACCCAGCTAGCGGAAGCAGGTTGCGTTATTGAAAGATGGCTGAAAAAAAAAAGAAAGAAAGATGGCTGAAATCAAGGAAAATTGAATCAGTGTAGTACAACAAATTTCCAAAGCTGTCATAGCAAAAATAAGACGAAAACCTCCCCCTTTGTCTTTGATTTTCAGTAAATCACAAGACCCAACCTGATTGCCATCTATGGTGTCTGGGGTGTCTTAGTTGGGGGGATGCCTGGGACTGCAGCCTTAGAAACATAAGTGCACACAGACCTTTACAGCTGCCCTTGTTCAAAGCCAGGTAGCTGTGGGTGCTGCTGAGGCCACCTGCTTGTGAGTCACCTCTGCACAGGTCCCCATAGCCTGGAGGCTGGTGGCTGTGTGGGGAAAGCCCTGGAAGGTAGCCTGTTCCAGCTGCAGGTGGGAATTAGGAGATCTGGCCCTGGCTTGTTAGAGGCCAAATTCATGCCAGCTGCCTGGGGGCAGGGGGCTGTGGGGAGGAGAGGGAGAGGAGAGGGGAGAGAGGAGAGCAGGGGAGGGGGAAGAGGGGGGACAAGGGAGGGAGGGGGAGACAGAGAGACAGTCAGTGCCCCCTGTGTTGATAGCAGAAATGACAGTAGAACCAGTCCTGAGGGGTGTTCTGTGGATGCTGACCATGCAGACTAGAGAGGGGCTGGCAGGCAGAGTTTTCTGTCACCAGGGTCCGGGGTCAGGAGGAAGGGTGTGACCACCCCAGCAGCAAGTTTTCTGCACTCCAGCCCTCACCCTGAGGGTCCCCAGTGGGCTGTGACAACTGCATCTTTACATAAGCCCCCGCTCCATGTACAGCTCTGGGCCCCAGACTTCGTGTAGCTTGTCACTGGTCCTTACCCAAAGCTGATCACATGGCCTCATTCCTGTTTCATGGGACAGAAATCAAGACTCCCAGAGGCTCGTTCTTAGAAAATGTGGCCAAGGCAAGCTCAAGACCCAAGTCTGTCCTTATAGCCCTGTGCGAGGCTCTCGCCTCCCCCGTGGAACCATGGGGGGGCTTGGGAGGCCAGCTGACTTGGGTTCCAGCTGTGCCTGGGCCTTTGAGTGGCTAGGAACAGGTGATTGGGGCAACCCAGTGTAGGGCAAGGCTGTGTGGCAAGAACAGGGGCGACCTCAGTTCTCATTCCCACCTAGGGACTGAAATCTAGTTCCATGTCCCATCGGCCCGTGTTGTCTCAACATCAGGTGCCCTGAGTCAGAGTCTGGCTGCCCGAGGCAAACAGCCAGGTGGGGCAAGAGCTCCGAGCACAGTACCTGGGCTCCAGCTGCTCCACAAGACCTTCCAGAGCCTCAGTTTCTTTAGTGTAAAATCAGAGCAGTAGTAAAAGTCCTTAATCCTACAGTCTTTATGGGTCTGAGATAGCCCTGTGTGGTGTAGAGCGGTGCCTGCTACAGTCACTGCCGCAGTCAGGGTCTCGGTCCTCCTCACCACACCTGGTCTCCCTGTCCACAACTAAGGGCATGACACAGAATCCTCCCATCCCCCTTCGGCAGATCCATCAGCCTGTGAGCTGCCCAAGAAACGTCACCCCTCACCAAGCCTCGGTGTTCTCATTGTAGTGATCAGTAAACATGAACAGGTCAGTGTTCAATATCGAAGTAAATTGAAGTTGCTTTTTCAAGTAAATTGGGGATCGAGAGGTGAGAAGGTTCCACGGCGCATGAAACCACAAGTGTCATCTGGGCAGGGGAGGCCCTGGACTTTGTCATGTGATCAAGGATTTAAAAGCAGCCTACAGCAGCCCTCTGTGCATACCTACCGGGGGAGTAGCGTCTCCATAGCCATGATCTCTGTAGTGCACGGCTGCTTCCTCTGCAGCCACCTCAGAGGACTGTCTCATAAATTAAACCCCAAGGGGCCGGGGAGATGGCTCAGTGGAATAAGTGCTTCCCTGGCAAGTGCAAGGGCCTGAGTTCAATCCCTGGTTCCAACAAAAAATACATAAATAAAAATAAAAATAAATTAAACCCCAAATGGCCCTTTTTAGCCCTGAATTTAGTTCAGGCTGCTTGTGGGAATCAGAGATTGAAAAGGAGGCGCTTCTGCATCCACTTCTGTGTGTTGGGCCTGGAAGAGGCAGGATGTCCCCTGAATCAGAAACGGATATTCCCGGGGTCAGGATGATTTTTTTGTAGTATTTTGTCTTTTCCATTCTGAGTAAGTCTGCTTAACTTTGGAGAAGGGCCCAAGATCTTGGCTCAGAAATTTGCTTTGCTCACTGTAAATCTTTGCATTTTACACATGACTGAACCAAACCCAGGCCTGGGAAGATAGCTTGAAGGCATAAGCACCTGCCTGGCAAACGAAAGGTCCTGAGCTCAATCCCTAGTAATGCATGCCGCGCCAGCCCCGGAACTAGGCATGGTGGTGCACACCTGTAATCTCAGCACTGAGGAGGCTGAGACAAGAGGATCACTGTGAGTCTGAACTGTGTAGTGAGACCCTATATTCAAAAACTAAATAAATAAAAAAGAAAGGTGGGATGGTGCTTTTGGGTTCAGGGCACAAACTCATGAACCAGACACCTTCCAGGTCCGTGTTTGTGGAGAGAATGCTCCATGCTGGGCAGGTGCATGCCTGTGGGCAGAGGTGGTATCCACACCTGGAAGAGAAACTCAGACTCAAGGAGCCGAGTGAACTGCCAGAATCCCCAACAGGAAGGAAGTCCTGTGCAGGGACCCCCCCAGCACTAGCAAGCAGGCTGAACGTGGCCCTGGGTGAAGGGTCCACAGCCCCAGCTACTGGGCAGGACCCCACTTGAACGCAAAGCCCACTGCCCAGCACTGAAGTCAGCACGTCGTTCTGTCTGTTCAGGGCAGGACCAGTTGCTGTCCTGCCACCCTGCTGAGCACCCATTGCCCCTATGTGGCCTCAGGAACCCCCAACAGGGTCAACTGGGAGCATGGTGGCCGAGGGACCTGGGCAGAAGCTCCTCAAATGAACTCCTCCCACAAAGGGCCCAACCCAGCCTTCAGCCTTGGTGTCCCACCTAACCTGGACACAAAGCTCTAAGGAGAGTGTGACACTCAGTGTTGATGCTAGGGACTCTGAGAGCAGGAAAGGGGGACACACACTGGCTGGCATCTCAGTGTGAGGCAGGTGTCCACAGGATCTGTGGACATATAGATGGCGAGGTGACTTGGTGTGATAGACAGGACACAGGCCCGGGTCTGCAGGTTGCAGGCGCCAACCCTGCCACATAAGCCTGCCGCCGGGACACATTCTTGTCGCCCCTACTTCAAGCAGGAGTGCAGGTCTGATGGTCCCAGCCCATGTGCCCAGCATCTCTGCCAGGTCCTTAAGCAGATTTTTTTTTGGGGGGGAGGGGGAGTGAAGTCACTGGAAAGACAACAGAATTCAGACATGCCCTGTGGGTGACAGAGGTGAAGGACGCTGTGATTAGTGAATGACCGCGAACCTGAAGGCGGCCATCTCTGGTTCCCAGCAGCCACCATGCAGGGCGGCTCTTGCATCCTCGAAGGACCCATATGAATTAGTCCAGCCTGCCCATCTCCTCACCACAGGAGGGGACAGAGGGTTTTTCTGGCCTGGCTCCTGAGACTAGGCAGCAGCATTTTGCTCCATGGGAGGCGGCCAGGGGCCCAGTGAAGCCCTCACACTCCCTGCCCCAGCTGCCCCAGAGAAGCTGCTCCAATTCTGCAGGCAGCCCCGTGATGGAGCAGGTCCTTTCCGAGTGAGGAGACGGGCATATAAATATTCCCTGTCTCTGCCGCTCTTTATTTCCCTTGTAAGCAGTGGCCCCATTTCTCCATCTGATGGATTCCCCCTCACAGCCAGGCGGGCGCCCCAGCTCTGCTTCCAGGCAGCAGCCTCAGAAATAATCCTGTGCCCTGTCTTCCTCTTACCTACTGCCCAGAGCCTCTGTCCCACTGGCCTCCGGGTCCTCCCACCACCTGACAGTGGCCCAGGAGGCTGCAGCCTCGCCATGCGTTCCGCAGTGCACCTGTACCTCTGCCTGCTGGAATAGATGGCCAGTCCCCAGGTCAGCTGCACCCAGCAGGGAGGAGCCGGGCCCTCCAGCCCCATGCCAAGCCGCCTTCTCACCTGCCCAGCCCCCAAGCCGGGGTGCACACTTGGAAAGCGAGGCCTAGGGAAGAGCTCCTTAGCCTACCTCGCTTCCTGGCGTGCCGCCGGCCTCCGTTTCCATTGGACTCGCAGGCTGAAAGAGGAGGGAGCATCTAATTAGTAAAGGGACAATCTAATATTAATCACTCCCTTAAAATTGACAAGGGAGGCAGTTCATTTAACCACTTAATTGCTACAGGTTTTTATGGGCTGCTGTTTGCAGACATATTTAATGAAGAAGTTATAAATCTAAGGGAGCTTAAAATTTTAATTTTATACCTAAATATTTTCCTTGTTCTCCTGTTTGTAGTCAATCCTCCAGAGTGTAGTCACGTGGAATGTTCTTTAAATGAACATATTTGCTAACTGGCATGATTTCAGTTTTTAAAACATTGGTTCCAGCAATTAGGCATTTTTTCCAGTTCCCAAATGACTAGAGAAATTCGTCTTGATTATAATTGCTCTTAGCCACGCATATCTAATTTGTGTCTTTTTAAGTGTTAATTAGTAAACAGTTTGAGCTGACATCTTTATGTGTTTGTGTGTTGAAAAATGGGGCTTATTGCTTATTTAGCTTGGGGCCGATTCTGCTAGCATTTACGTCACGACATTGAGGTGAAATTAATGAAAATACATTTGGCAGCAAGAGGTAAGAATTTTCAAATTCCTCTTTAGGAGGTCTGCTTTGCCGGGGCCTCTTCAAATATATGAGGTTACGGTGGATCGGATCTACATCCTGCAGGAAAACAGGAAAGATTTTTGTATCGGTAATGAAATGGCAGAGTCCCAATTTTATAAAAGCAAAATGTTCACATCCCAACACAATTGTTCATTCTTCCTACTTTTGGAAAGCTTTCATTGTGCTTATTAATGTGAACAAATTTCTCCGAGGGCGAGGATGCAGCCGCGCAATCTGCGGTCCCTTTGCACCATCTAGTGGTCGGGCCTCAAACTGCAGTGGGAAACTGCCTTGGCTTGAAATTCGATGTCCCTCGCCGCTCGCCACATCGCGTCCTTTTGATTGCTGCTTTTTTTTTTTTTCTTTTTTTCTTTTTTTCCGACCAGGAGCCTGAAATGTTTAGGGAAAGAAACCCACCTGCTTCTCTCATGAGGTAAAAGTCAGTTAAATCAACAGGAACGAACCTCTTCCCCTCTCCTTTTGTATATTGCTTGAAGACAAAGAGCCTTCCAGCTCTCACGCAGGCCTGAGAGCATTCTGGCCGAACACGGCCTCCTGACATTCTCTCCACGAAGATGTGAGGCTTTGGTGAGGTGCTGGCTCTATTAATCAGCATGATTGGGTCTCTAGGATATTTACACAGCGCAAAACATCACATCATACCTTACAAACATATGTAATTCTTGTCAATTTAGAACAAATGTTTAAGTGCAGGTGGTATATGCCTGTAATCCCAGAGCTCTGGGAGGCTGAGGCAGGAGGATCACAAAGTAGCCCAAGCCTGGGCAACTCAGCAATTTAGCACACCACCGTCTCAAAAAATAAGAGCTGGCAGTGTGGCTTTAGTTCAATGCAATGCCTTAAATTCAATCCCTAGCAGTACAAATAAAATACACAATTACCAGTCCCCTGTTGGCTGGCTTTTGGGTGGTTTATTTGTCAGTACACAGCAGTGTGCTTCATTGTGCCTGTGGCCCTTTCTGCAGGAGAACCAGGCTACCCTTTTGGCCTTCTAAAAAGTCCCGCGCGCAGGGACCCGGATTTGATGCCCAGCACCACATGCAGCCCAGCCCCCAGGCATGCAGAACCCGCAACCAAGACCTGGTGTGAGCATACCCTGTAATCCCAGTGCTGGAGAGGTTGAAAACAGGAGGCTCACCTTGAGTCCAAGCTGTAGAGTGAGACCCCGTACCAAATGCATACAATAAAAACATAAAAAAGGCTGCATCCTTTGAGACCCTGCCAGAGATGCAGGCAGCACGGCCTCCACATCCAGCTCTACACACCCCAGTTGCCTCCCCATCATCCAGAGCAGAACAGTCTGTGAGCTGCTTACTGTCTTGTGACTCTCTCCTGTTTGTGCCCCCGGGACGTGGGGAGGAAGAGAGTGTCCGCAAGAGCTGAACTTTTTAAATCCATTTTTAGGCCCTTTCAAGATGGCCGCTTTTTCTCAATCATATATTCAAATACACAGATACACAATTCAACTGATGTCTTTTTGCCTTGTTATTGAGGTAGGCTACTATACAAAAGTTTCACATTTTTGTAGCAATTTGTCTTCCCATTAATACTGTGTTTTGGTTTCCATATTATTCTTAGATTATAAAAAACACCTACCCAGGGGTGTGTGTGTGTGTGTGTGTTACTCAAATTCAACTAGGGCTTTCACACTGAGCTATATCTCCAGCACTTTTTAAAATTTTGAGATAAGGTCTAAGTTGCCCAAATGGGACTTAAACCTGCAATTCTGCCTCAGCCTACTTTAGTGGTGCAATTACAGGCAAACACCACTACCCCCGTGCTGTTTTGTATTTTAGTATATTAATATGTTAAATGTTTTCCAACTATCCAATCCCTCTGAAACAAACAAGAAAGATCTAGAACCGGCTGTCTTTGATCCTAAAATGTTGCTTTTCTTCAGATTCACTTTTCTCCCGTGCCTTTGCAGTGGGACACCATGGAAGTGGGTCGGTGGGGCTTTTCCTTGACCCTGTTCTGCTCCCTTTATAGAATTCCCCCAGTTTTGACTCTCTTCACTTTATAACAAGCTTTCGGGCGTAGTGCGTCCCTTGTTTCCCCCTTTACCTACTTACACTGACATGGTTATTCTCTAGCTGAACTCTGGGATCTGAGGGTGGGGTCTGAGACCTCCACCGTGCAGCTCGCTAAAGAGCTAAGAACCGTCCTGGGTGCAGCCTGAGAGGGTTGGGTGACGCGTCCCAGGGCCCCTGGGCATTACGCAGCAAGGTGGACACTTTCCTCGCCGGCTCC